AACAGCAGGAGATCAAAGACCCTTTCCGCTCTGCAACTTGGATCTGCTTACCTTAAGGCTTAACATGGCAAGTAACTTAACCTTTTAACTTCTTCCTGTTATCTCTTTGCTGTGCTGGGCTGTTTCCTATTTTTTATATATAAATATATATCTTAGTTACCGTATTTTTCGCTCCATAAGACGCACCTGACCATAAGACGCACCTAGGTTTTAGAGGCGAAAAACAAGAAAAAAAAATATTCTGAACCAATGGACTGCGGACATAGTACAGGAGATGACCAGAGACTGCGGACACAGTACAGGGGATGACCGGAGACTGCGGACACAGTACAGGGGATGACCGGAGACTGCGGACACAGTACAGGGGATGACCGGAGACTGCGGACACAGTACAGGAGATGACCAGAGACTGCGGACACAGTACAGGAGATGACCAGAGACTGCGGACACAGTACAGGAGATGACCAGAGACTGCGGACACAGTACAGGAGATGACCAGAGACTGCGGACACAGTACAGGAGATGACCAGAGACTGCGGACATAGTACAGGGAAAATACCAGGGACACAGTACAGATGACCAGTGCAGGGAATGACCAGAGACTGCAGACAGTGCAGGGAATGACCAGAGACTGCAGACAGTGCAGGGAATGACCAGAGACTGCAGACAGTGCAGGGGATGACCAGAGACTGCAGACAGTGCAGGGGATGACCAGAGACTGCAGACAGTGCAGGGGATGACCAGAGACTGCAGACAGTGCAGGGGATGACCAGAGACTGCAGACAGTGCAGGGGATGACCAGAGACTGCAGACAGTGCAGGGGATGACCAGAGACTGCAGACAGTGCAGGGGATGACCAGAGACTGCAGACAGTGCAGGGGATGACCAGAGACTGCAGACAGTGCAGGGGATGACCAGAGACTGCAGACAGTGCAGGGGATGACCAGAGACTGCAGACAGTGCAGGGGATGACCAGAGACTGCAGACAGTGCAGGGGATGACCAGAGACTGCAGACAGTGCAGGGGATGATCAGAGACTGCAGACAGTGCAGGGGATGACCAGAGACTGCAGACAGTGCAGGGGATGACCAGAGACTACTGTCTGCAGTCTCTGGTCATCTCCTTTACTGTGTGCAGTCTCTGGTCATCCCCTGCACTGTCTGCAGTCTCTGGTCATCCCCTGCACTGTCTGCAGTCTCTGGTCATCTCCTTTACTGTCTGCAAAGGAGATGACCAGAGACTGCTGACCTTTGGGAAGGGAAGGGGAGCGGGTACCTGAATTTGACAGCTACCCGCTCCCACTTTCACGGAGTTGTCCTTCACTCTTCTTCCCGCGCCGGCTTCTATGACAGCCGGGTGCCCACTGCGCATGCGCGAGAAGCGCTGCACTTTGTGAATGGCCCGGCGCCTTCTGGGACCTGTCATGTGTCCCAGAAGACACCGGATCATTCACAAAGCAAAGCGCATGCGGAGTGGGCACCCGGCTGTCACAGAAGCCAGCGCAGGAAGACTGTACAGCGCTGGAGCGAGGAACAGGTAAGGCCCTGCAAGAGAGAACAGCTGAGCGGCCGGCCCGGTATTCTGACATGGTGGCGGCAGAAGTACCGGACCGGCCGCTTTATATTCGCTCCATAAGACGCACTGACATTTTCCCCCCTTTTTTGGGAGGAAAAAAGTGCGTCTTATGGAGCGAAAAAATACGGTACATCTTTTTTTTTGTAAATATTTTATTGCACCTGTTTGACTCTTTTAGTAATAAATCTTTCTCTCTGAAAGTGTTAAACTGTCTCTAAAGCGCTTAATTGCAATTTACGAATCCCTGCCTTCTGAAGAGACGCTACTGTGTTTGTTCAATTCTCTGCCCAATCGGCCTGCGGTGACCGTATTGGACAGGCGACTTTTCAACCATTACAGTGTATATTTGATAAAGAGTTTCCCCTTTCTCTGTACAAAAAGTGGTGGTGGCAGTGAAGGGTTAGTTGCGTAATTAACCCGACCCAGTAACAAGCGCATTCAGGCTGCTGGTGCGTCGATTGCGTTCCATTAGCTGGACAATCGTTGTGCAGGGCGCAGCTGAGTGTGGCATTGTTACGCACATCACATCGCGGTTTTAGATCAGCCGGTCCTTTGGTCACGAGTTCGGTGAGAAGGTCTGGGGTCTGACGCCGCAGGCATGACGTATTATTGTTGGTCGCGTTCGTGCGATTGTCGCATGTTGAGGGTGGCGATCGGGCGACCGTGACAATCCCCACTTCCGGTCCGATCGCCTACGTGATCGGAAGCGGAGGATGTCCTCTCTCCCTGTAGTCTTTTGGGACATGTGACAGCAGAGCAATACAAAGCAGTGTGCTTACAGTGTAAAGCTCTTCAGCTCTGTGTATACAAAGGAGCATGGGGGAGCTCTTGTCCATAATGAGCATGGTATTGACACAGCTCCAGATGATTCACATTGGCTCACAACTGATATGATCCAAAAATATTTAGACAGAATAAAGGTGAATAAAGCACCTGGAACCGGATGGCATACATCCATGGGTCCTTAAAGAATTGATCTCTGTCATTTCAAAGCCATTGTTTCTCATTATTAGGGTCTTTTTAATGACTGGCATAGTACCACTGGATTGGCGTAAGACCAATGTGGTGCCAATATTTAAAAAGGGGTCAAAATATTTACCAAGTAATTATAGATTCGTTAGTTTAACTTCTATAGTTGGAAAGTTACGGGAGAGTTTAATAAAAGACCACATAGATGCGTTCTTGCTGGAAAAAAATATTTTAAGCAACAGACAGCATGGATTCATGAAAGACAGAAGTTGTCAAACAAATCTGATTTCTTTTTATGAGGAGGTGAGCAAATCCTTGGACAGAGGGGTGGCGGTGGACGTGGTATACTTGGATTTTGCAAAAGCATTTGACACAGTTCCCCACACACAGCTAATGTGTAAGGTCTACGGGCTTGGAAAAATCTGTATGTAAATGAAAAGAAAACTGTAAGAGGATAGTGGTTAATTATTCATACTCGCATGGTCTGGGGTTATTCAGTGGTGTACCCCAAGGTTCAGTGTTGTAATTGGGCAATTATGTGTGGCAAATGAGGTCTAACATGCTGAGAGGCATTATTTTTATCGTAATTGTACTGTCTGCCTTTTATGTTGTAAAGCGCAGTTTAAACTGTTGGCGCTATATAAATCCGGTATAATAATAATAATGTATATTCCCCTAAATCTCTGATCCTATGGTTTCTACTGTGGCTATCAAGGAAGAAAGTGATGATACTGGCAGTACTACCTTTCTGGCCAAGCAGGCTGTGGTTCACACTGCTATCTCTTCTTGCAATGGAAGAACCCCTGAATCTTCCAGTAATTCCAGAAACTTCGGGTTTGAGAGTTTGGAAGTTGAACCATGCAGACTAACAGAACCTAGAGTGTTCTCACAGTATATTAAGTAGTGAAAAAAAAAAAAAATTCCAGTATCTACACCGCCATTTGTAAATGCTATAACTTTCATGGAAACCAATTAATTTACACGTATTGGGATTTTTTTTTAGCAAAGACATGTAGCAGAATACATTTTGTCCTAAATGTATAACGAAATTTGATTTTTTACATTTTTTTTTACTGGATATGTTTTATAGCAAAAAGTCAAAAATATGACTTTTTTTTCAAAATTGTTGATCTTTTTTGTTTATAGTGCAAAAAATGAAAAAGGTAGAGGAAATGAAAAGAGAGCTCCAGGGGCGGACTGACAACTCATGGGGCCCCCGGGCAATAGGGGATCATGGGGCCCGTGTCCTTGCTCAAACTCAAAAAAGCTTATAAAAAAGGTACCAGGGGCATCTCATGGGGCCTCCTACTGACCCAGGGCCCTTGGGCAGTGCCCGAGTTTCCAAATGGTCAGTCCGCCCCTGGAGAGCTCTATTTGTGTGAAAAAAAAAGGACATAAATTTCATTTGGGTGCAGCATTGCTGTGCATGACCGTGCAATTGTCAGTTACAGTAACACAGCGCCGTATCCAAAAAAATGACCTGCTCAGGAAGGGCAGTAAATCCTCTGGAGAGCAAGTGGTTATACAAAAACTGCCCCACTAGTCTTCCATTTCTATAATTATTCCCCCAAAAAAACATCTTTCCGTTGTGACTAAAATCTATTTATGTATTTGTGTTCATATAGCATTTAACATTGGTGTCAGCAGTTAACAAAGCTATAAAGGATGACAGAGCCCCCACCTGAAGACTTAGGTCTGTACGGTCTTGTCTGCGCCTCTCCTATTGGCCTGTCTGTTGGATGACACAAGTCTCTGTGCACACAGACACACAGCACCCTCCCACGCACTGCTCCATTCATAAAAGCCAGAGCAGTGCGCAGTGCCTGCTATACACAAACATACCTCAACAGGACTGCAATAGACAGCATCAGCCACACACACACACAGAGGAGGATGAGAAAACCACTCAGGGGAGACGCAAGAAAATTAGACTTGCATTAGACGCACGCAGAGTACATGCTTACCAACCTAACAAAAACAAAAGAAAAGTGAACAGTTTAGGTGAAGTAGAAGTAGGAAGTGCTGTTTGTGTGATCTTTGTTTGCGCTCACTTCTTTGTTGCTTTTTATGCATGTGATTTGCACTCCGATCAATCTGTAATCTCTATCACTAAATACACATAATCATTTTAGCATTTCTAATTTGCAAATGATCCAATTCTAGTACACATCTATTTGCTGCAATTTGACTCATACTCAGTGTTGTACTAAAGCCTTGCTAGGTCATTCGTGTTTATTGCACGCGTGTAGAAATAGCTTGCATAATGGTGGTACGTGTATTTTTAGTGGGTAAACATTGCACTTGGAAATTTAAGTAGATTAATCTAGCTGTGTGACTTCATAGTAAGGGTTGTAGCACAACTGGACATTCGTAGGTTAATATAGATGGACCATTGATGTAACATCTGCGTCGCATCAGTGTGCAAAGGATACGGTCGTTTAATGCGTTAGGACAGGATGGTGGTCGTTGGCGTGATCGTCCTTCTCGTCCTTCTCGTGGCAGTAACAGGTAAGACGGAGTTTTATTCTAAGTTGGGTATGGGGATTTCACGGTACCTGCTTGCTGTCTCTTGCTCTCCCTCCATCCCCTCCTCCTCTTCTGACCCCACTCTCTAGTTCCTGTATCCAGACTCTGTTGCTGTTGCCACGGAAACGCAAACACGTCATTCATGCAGAATCTAATAAGTTAAAGTCCATTTTTTTTATTGCATGCGTTATGTTATTTAGCTGCGTTGTCTTGTGTGTAGCTTCTGTCAGCACGGGCGATCAAGCTCCATGGAAACCTAAGGTGGCTTTTGTAGAAGTCTTCTATTTTGATGTCAAAATCTAATTGACATTGTGAATACCAAGGACATGTGATAAGTTTGTCCCAAAATGGCACAGCCTTCTTGTGACATCATTTACAGTCAAGGCCAGGCTGATGTAATGGAGCGCTGGAAGTTGTGTGATGAAATCAGACGGTGCCCCTAATTACAGTAAACCTGGTTGGCCAAGAATAATCTCATTCTAGGCGCCTTGAAAGGAAGGCTCTGGTCTTTTTTTTCCCTGTGTGTGTGTGGGGGGGGGGGGGGCACCTAGTTCTCAGCTGCTGCCCCACCCTACCATGTGAGTCCGAGAAACTACCCCCACAGCTTATATCTTTAAAGCGGAGCTCCACCCAAAAGGGGAAGTTCTGCTTTAAGTCTTTTCCCCGCTCCCCATTAAGGATTGGCACCTTTGGGTAGCGGGTACCCGATATTGACAGGTTCCCACTTCTACTGCGATCTCCTAGGCGATTGGAAGCGGAAGTTGTCCTCCCCCCCTTTCCCTGTAGTATTCTAGGACACGTGACAGGTCCCAGAAGACTATGGGGCCATTCACATAGCGCAGTGCTTCTCGTGCATGTGCAGTGGGCACCCGGCTGTGAAGCTGCAACCTGTCACACCCGGGGTCCCCACTGAAAATGCCAGCGCCGGGTTGAGAAGACAGACGGTGAAACCACCCGTGGTGAGGACATACTGGACCAAAGGACAGGTAAGTGTTTGTATTTTGAAAGTCAGCTACAGTTTTTGTAGTTGCTGACTTTTATTTTATTTTTTTTTTCCAGCTGGAACTCTGCTTAAAAGTGTTACTAAACCCACAACAATAAAATCAGTCTGTATATGCAGTAAAGCATGCTTGTTATACTCACTGGTACCTAAGGGGTTAATCCTCTGCATTGTGTAAAAAGGCTGTTTGATCCTGTCTTCTCTGATCCTCCCCTTCTTCCAGTGCCCCCCCCCCTTATCTTCAGATAAGACATATCGTGTGGAGTCACTCTGCACATGCTCAGTTTGGTGTGCATTGCTAGAGAGGTTTTTTTTCTTTCTTGGGAAGCTGCATGTGATCAGAACAGGGCCAATCAGCAGTGTCCAAACAGAGGTCAGGAGTCCTGCATCCTCCTACAGGAGAATAAAAACTCCTCCTACAAACTGTAACTAGTGCTCTGCTGAACACTGATAGATGTCACAAGACTGCTCTAACTGCTGATGAGAAAAGGTATTTAGCAGTTTATATTTATTTCATGTTGTGTGTACTGTGGGAGACCAGATATAGTGAATGCAGGGTCCTGGGTTTAGTAACACTTTAAGACCCGATTCACAAATATGCGGTGCAGGAAAAGCAATGAACTCTGAACATTTCCCGCACTGAACTGAAATCTGCCAAAAAACCTTGCATTTTGTTCATGCGATCTGCCACCGGTGTCAATATTAAAATAGTTAGCCAATCCCCCAAAGACGTCATTTATGATGAAACATGTAGTGTGTGGCCTAGTCGTGATGACATCACGCACGCTAGTCAGTTGGAGCCAGCGTTTTTTTTTTTTGTAACCATCAGCCTGCTAATTTTTGCTTATTGGATTACAAGTGAATCTGCTACTTATATCTTGCTGGATTTTATACTGTAGTCAGTAAAGGACATTTTTAAATTTGCTACACTATGGAAGTGTCTATTTTTTTTCAACCATGAACTGCTTTGAATGGGAGTGCGCTGACCTGCAGATCTTATGAGAAGAGCGGTGGAAGGTGTATGACCTAAAAGCAATCGTGCCCATTTATAACTTTATGATCCAACATATTTGGTAAGAGGCCTCTATCATTGATTACTTACGGTGGTGGAATACACAGAAGCATATCTATATGAACGGAAGAATCACATGTTCATTTTTTGTGCACTGGATTAATCTAATCACTTGGAATAAGGTGGACTTTACTTTTGGAGTGTATATGTACTTAATATATAACCTATGTGATATGTGAAGTTTGGCTATTTAGTGCTGCTTATATTTTTTCTTTTTGCACTTGGTAATTGGTATCACAATTTTATAGTAGCTGCTGCTGTGTATTTTTGACTGAGCGTGGATTTTAATATGGATATTTGAATGTTAAAATAATGACACCCCAAAACAGATCGCAAAATGCAGTGCAATTGCAAGAATCAGACCTTATTTTAAGGTTTCCTAATTCTTTGTATTTTTTAATCTGTAAGGCCTCTAACTCCTCTGTAACTCATTTTCTAAACATATCTACATACCTACTGTCTGTAATATTGGGGTTAAAGGTAAACAAGCATCTGCCTGTTTGCAATTTTGTGCCTCCAGTTCCACTTTAAGTTTTGTAGTTTTCAGTAAAGAGCAAGTAATATGAAAGCAGCAATTTTTAAATTTTAGTTATGCTACGTGAATGGGAACAAATATAAAGTAGATTCTGTCCCAATTTGGTTGCAAAAGCAGAAATAAATTTTAAGGCTGGTGTGTACTGCCGTTTTTTTTTTGCTGAAAAGAATCACTGTAATGGTACCATCCAAAACTGTCAACCCTTATTGTCCTCAAGCACATTTTAAGTATGCTGAAATCTGCCCAATTTCTAAAAATGTCTAATAATAATCCCTGTTCACTCGGTGCTCTTCTGTACCACGAGTCATGACATGGAAGTAATTTTTGACAGGTAGTGCAGAGGAGCTACAGGAGTCAGTAACAGCAGTATGTATTCAGTAAGTAGATTATGATGATTAAATAGAACCTTTGCCCCCTTACATCACAGTCGCCATCAGGGTGGCACTTCATCCATGTTCCCCTGCTCGTTGGGTGCCAAATGTGGGTCTCATAAGAGACCTACCCCGGGTTGGGTTCTTCTGGGCTATGCTAGGCACCTTGGAAGGGTCACTCCATTTGCGCATGGAGTAACTTTTACTTGTGCTGTGCTCACCAATGCCCCTGGACAGGGCAGAGGTTGCTTTCAGGGATAACTCAACCTTAAGGTGGACCTCCAGCTTAGAGATGGCCATACACCATGCACACCGAACAATAAACTGGACTCCAGTTAACTCTCTTGTCCACTTGTCAATGTATACCTTCACTGTCAGTTGTTGCAATTCTGAGAGACTTGCTGAGCTGATGCCCACTCCACCTGTCCAGCGTATATCTGTACCTTACTTCCAGTGTGAATGGAGTCCTACCGAGCACCTATCATGGACTTCATGCATGCTCTGTTGACTCTTCCTCTTCTGTACCTATGATCAGATCGGGAACCTTTGAGGTGCTGAACTGCTCCCAATGCTATGGGAGATGGACCATTCATAGAGAGTGCCGATAACAACTCCCACATTGCTAGAGGACATCCCACCTGTCACAGGTACACTCTTTACGACAGGCTGCTTGTACTGGCTGTAGACTTCCATTACCCCTGGCAACCACTTGCTTGTACTCTACAACATATTAACTCTTGTAGTGCTGTCTTCATACCTCAATGTGAGTAATTGACCCCAAACTGCAGATGACTATATATGATGTGCCAGTTATTTTTTGACACCCCTGTAATAACTTCAGACAAGGCATGGAAATGTTTCAAAGCTTTACTCATGAAACTCAGCATAACAGGTAAACAGTGTAACAGTTCTTTCCTAACCTAGTCCCTAACTACAGTGGCTGCTCCAGCATACCTGCACAGGCAAGAGTCCATTCTTGGCAGAGTCCATAGTGGCAGAATCCAGATGCTGGTGCTTTCAAGGCAGACTTCTAGTGCTAGCAGTCCCCCCACATGGTGGTACACTTGCAGGAAAAGAAACCCTCTCTGTGGAAAAGCTAGTCTGTGTCTTCTTCCCATTCAGGAGATGGACTGACTGTGAGCAGAGCCCTCCCTCCTTTTAATTACAGCACAGGGAAAGAGACAGAGTTCTGCAAAAAGTGCGGGAACTGCAATAACGCTTCCCTCCCAACTAGGGTAGCCAGCTGTCTCAGTAACCCAGCAATTCAACCAGATTACAAGGGTACCCCCTTGCATTAGGTGTCCTCATGAGAATGCCCCCTTACATCAGTTCTCCTCGTCAGAGTGTCCACTTCCATCAATTGCCTCATCAGAGTGGTCCCTTACATCCAGAAACCCGCGAGAGGGGCCCCAAGGTTTTGACTGCCTAGGAGCCTCCACAGAGTTTAATCTGGCACTTCCAGCCCTCCCCTAGATCCGGACCTGAATTGGATCTGCTGCACATGTTGGTAGAGGTAATGAAACTGGCAGCAGGAATTTCCCTGGACTCCAGCCTGTACCTATTTTCCTTTGATTTATCCCTAAATCAATAATCTGCCCTAGAACAAATTCCTTTAACCCTGGCAAAACAGAACAGCTGTATATTCCAGTGTTTTGCCTTGTTGATAATGGCAACTAATAGGCTCTTTTTGTTTCACTCTCTTACTAAAAAAAATAGGGTCAAAGAATCTGGTTGCTATGACAACACAACTTGTCTGAACTTATCTGAACACACAATGGGAAATGATAACCATTGTTATTAGTCTTTAACAGTGAACTAATGCTAGATTTCCTGACATATTTATTCAAGCAGTGCAAGGTGCAGTGACCCATAGCAACCAAATGTCATCCTTTCGTTGGCCTAATTACAGAATACAGAAATATCATTGGTTGCTAGGAGCAGGGCTGTGGATAAGGGGGGTATCGCCAGTCGTCCTGTACGGGGCCCAGGCAGCTGGGTGAACTGGATGTGGGCAGGGAGGGTGATCGGTATGGTGGGAGGGGGGTAATTTCTGGAACCGATCCCCTGTATGGCTCTCTCTGCAGCAGCTGAAAGTTGGCTTCTTCTCCTCTCCCTCCCGCTGGCTTTCAGCTGCTGCAGAGAGTGTCATACAGGGGATCAGTTCTAGTAATTGCCCCCCACCGCACCCATCACCCTCCCTGTGCAACGTATGTTTCCCCCTGCTGCCCAGGCTCCCCTGTGTGCCCCCACCTCCACAGTGCTGCCTGCTTCCCTCCACTCCTTCAGCAGCTGCAAGCACACAATAAGATATTTCAGGATGGAGAGTGAGAGGACATGTCTGGCAAATACATCACATTTACCAGCCCCTTCCTTTCCTGAATGAACACAATGAGTGATCGGTACCAATCACTCACTGTGTACATTCATAACTGAAGCATAGTAAACCTATGTATTTTGGGGGGGAGGGCCCTGTCAGGTTGGCTGTATGGGGCCCTGTGGTGTCTAACAGCAGCCCTGGCTAGGAGTAACAGCACTCTTTGTGTTACCTTCATAAGCTATTAGAATTTCCCATTTATTAAAGTAGATTTAAAAAATGAATGACATCTAGTTTGCTAAATTGCTTTGCATTGTAAGCAGTTACCTTTTTTAAATAAAATACTTGTTGACCCCATTTATTACATCTCCGTTCTGCTAATCATCTACTACAGCCTCTTTACAGCCAATCACTGTCTACATGCAATCAAGCAGTTGCTGCATGGCATATCTCAGGTCAGGATTCCTGATAGTGACAAAAGTGGACTAGCCCTGCTTAACCCCTTAACACTGCACCTCCCTGCCCTTTGATGAGTTTCCGATGCCGGAAGGTGGGGTTTTAGATCATGTGACCGCTGTGATCGGCTCTTACAGTGGTCTCATGATCGGAAAGCTCCCTATCACAAGTAGCGATTGGGAGTGTTCCATCAGGCGCCATGTTTGTTTACATTTGGGTACGCAAATATGCGGCCTCTTAGCATCAAGGCTCACCCACCGAGAGGTCACATACATGAGTATTGTCAGCGCAAACGGGTTTATTGTTTAAACCACTTTGACAGAGTGACAACACAGGTGCAGAATTGGAAGTCAGGACTTGTTCACACCTAATGCTTTCAGTCTGCGTCCAGGGCCAATCATTGTAGGTAATCAATCCATAAGCGATTACATGCGAACGACCATGATTAGCTGTAGAAGCCTCGCATTGCTTCCAATAGGGCTTCAGCCCACAGCTAATCCACCCACTGGGTCTCCTGCATATACTAGCTAACAGCCCCATTCGCAATTGTGGTTGGGACTAAATGCATTCTGAACGTGTGCACAATAAAATTAATGTTTTCCAATAGACCTAGTTCACACCATTGCACTCAATGCCAGTGTTTCAAAAAAATGTACATCGGCATACTTTTTTTGCAATGGAATGCCATATCCAGCACTATGATTCCTTAACAGACATATTTTCTGTGATGTTACTTCAAAAGCTTTAGCAGTTCACATGTAAGGCCTTGTTCACACAATGGGTGTACTAAATTGTATTCCTGTGGAAGGCCGTATTTACCCACATGGGGATGCACAGGTATTCCGAGCATCCCCATGCAGGCAGTCCCATTGCTGTTGTAGTCAGGTGCTTGAGTAAGAATGAGAATGAGAGAAACACTGGCTACAGCTGCTCTCTGTAGCTGCTGCGCTTCGGAGCGGAACTATTACAGTAAGGGGAGGGAGCCGCTGGGCAGGAAAAATTAATTAGACTGATCTAGACAGCAATGCACTGTGGGAACTGTAGTCCTAAAGAGAGACTCTGTTGTGTAATCAAGAGCTTTTGAACTACATTCCCTAGAGAGGGGATTGCCATAAGAAGGGAAAGAGCTGCATTTGCCCAGGCTGTACAGGGCACAACTACCTTTTGCCTTGAAGGAGACCAGAGAGGAGACACGGGAGCTTCTTTGACTACAGACAATACTCACTAGACTCTGCTACACATTTCCTTTAAAGGGGCTAAAGCTTGCCACATGAGCAGCAATCACATTTTTAATTCTCTTTTTGTCCAAATCACAAAGCAATCAGACATATTACAATAATTTGGATTGACCTCAAGGAGATGGGATCAGAATTGCCCCAATCGAACATGGCAGAAGAATCAAATTGGTGTTGATACAATTGCCATTGTTTTTCTTGTATTCCCCTTTCAACTGTATTGAAGCTAATAATTTGTTGTCCAGTTATGACTTTGCAGTTGACCACATTCTGTTAATTTATTGACCTTGTGGGTGGTATATTGCTTTCTTGTAATTACTTGTGATCATATTTGCAATTCCTTATTAATTGAAAGTTGTAAAACTTGATTGAAAATTGCTACCTTAAAGCGGAACTTCACTCTGTCAGTCAACATTCACAATTTCAAATTTTTATGCTGCTAGCATTAGTAAATAGATAGGAAAGTATATCATATTTTCTTGTTTTAAACTTGTTTTTCCATTTCTTCAGTTACTTTCTGGTTTCCATGCCTCAGCAAATGTCATACATCCCAGGAATCTTCAGGAGGGGAGGAGGGGCTTTCTCAGCTAAACACACCCTCCTGCCTACATGTCTGAGCTAAGGGAAGATGGATTCCAGAAAGTAAATGCCACATAAACCATCTGCCCTTACTCAAGATGCCCACAGCCAGAAATGCTAGGGTGTGTTTTTCAAAGTGATTTCTCAGCAAAATAAAATATGGAGGCATGGATGGAGGAGTTTGCTTTGAATATAAAAAATAAATGAAATAGTGTTTTTGGTTTGTGGTGCCCAGATGCAGTGTAGTTCTGCTTTATTGGCCAGTTTACAATGTAAGTAATCCCTAACTGAATTTTTTTAATTGCTCTCGTTTAATCTGTTAACAATAAAATTAATGTATTATTTTTATAAGTGTAAAAGACTTCATCTTGTTGATCGTATCAGAAATTTGGAGCTGTCCTGTATTCTGTCCTCTCTACCTGGGTTATCTCGAAGAGTCTATTTAGACTGTCACCTTGGGACTAAAAGTCAGCTACTGGTTAGGCTTTGCAGATGAAGACAGTGGAATGGGTTGAGTAGTTTAGCAAAAGAAAACTGGGCAGGGCTGACACTACTCAAAATGCTGTGTGTTGTCAACCCACACCAGGATGTAGTTGCTGAGGGCATTTCTGGAAGATCAACAGGTATTTTTCTGTACCTATAGGATAAAACATGGAGACATGTGCACATTAGCAGAGATTTACTGCATCTGTTTTGTTTTAATGCTGCAGGGGAATTAATCCTTTTTTGTTCAGAGGAAGAAGTATCATCAATGCCAAAGTATGTAAAACAAAAAAAAAAAAAAAGCAAAACCAAGATCATAAGTTTTTTTAAGCCGCATACCAATTTGAAGGATGCAAACAGATTTCATTCCTTGCTTTGTGTGCTAGAGACTAGAGAGTGTAAACATATTCATTGAATCTGCCTAAGAAAGGAGTTGAGAATATTCACACAATAAAATATTCAGTCATGTGAAGATGAAATAAACAAACAGGGATTTGCTTATCATACAATTAGCCAATTGAAGTGAATATTCTCACAATTTATTGTATTAACATTCTCAAATACTTTAGCAAAACAGGGGCATTCCATGCAGCAATATGAATCTGTCTGTGTACTGTAAACTGTAACTACACTTTTCATTTTCTAATATCTTCATTTTCCCCATACAGTGGACAGCCGTTGTCCAAGTAAACTGGATTGCGTTTTGCAGAAGAGAGAGCTTTGTGCCCCAGGGAGCAATGTTTGTGGCCCCTGCCGACACCTGTATGAGGAAGCAAAGACTGGCTATTGTATATTCAAAGGTAAGCTTGATTGGGAAAACTAAGGTAGCTCATAGATGGATCAGTTTTTTTTTCGTTCAACCAGTGGGTTGAATGAAAAAAAAAACAGATCCAGTTCCCCCATCCACAAGGAATCCCCCCAGCTGAGTTATTGTATTCTGACAGCAGGGAGACTTCCCCACCATCAGAATACACTGATCAACATTACAGGCTATAGCCTTGCCCATACAAGGCTGAAAATTTGGTTGATTCCCTCCCAAACCATCTGAATTTTGATCCATATTAGGCCAGCTAAAGTTGTTATGAATATCGAATGGTAATGAGTAGGAAGATACTTTGACTCCCTCTCTCTTAAATGTTTTTTTTTGTTTTACTGATTTTTTTAATTTTTAAGTATCAGTTCACTCAAAACTGATCTCAGATTTTGGTAGCTGCAGTGCCGGTTCAAGGTCCTCTGACACCCAAGGTGAGGATGCCAAAATGTGCCTTCATGTTCTTTAATACAGTGCCCAAAAGACTAATACCATCACAAAGAGCAGCTGTTCCATCTCTCCAGCATGTTTCCAGTATAGGTGAGCGCCTTACAGTTTTAGGCTCTAATGCAGGGGTCTCCAATCTTTTCAGTACAAAGGACACATTGTATATTGTAGAAATATTAAAATTCAAGAGAATGAATAAACACACTCCAAGAAATATTTTCACATCAGAAGTCCCCTTTTGCATCAGAAGTTTCCCTTTTCACATCAGAAGGTCCTACATGACATCAGAGCCTCCCTTCCCATCACATCCTCGCTTTCCATCAGAGTCTCCCTTTCAGAAGCCATCACATGAGTTCCTGTGTGCAGGGTAAAATCTTGTAGTAGGCCAGATGTGGTCCATGGGTCTTAGTTTACAGACCCCTACTCTAACACAAAGAAAGAATGTTTATTAGTTATACAGCCTAAAAAAAAGACTTCAGTTGGGGTTTAAACTCAGTTAATTCTTGAAAAAGTAAAAAAAGGAGCAGTTCCAAAAAAGGCAGACAGAGGGTAAAGGGCTAGCTGACTGTGGTCTTCCTACAGCTGACCTTTCCCCTTTACTGACTTACCATGCTTTGTTTTGTGCTGTGTCTCTGGGTGGAGGTGGCCATCTTGTAGTGGTAGTGTTCTCATGTCTGAAGTTCATGCAAGGAGAACACTGAACAGCAAAGTAGCAACATCATCGAATCTCACCAGGTCCTACACTGCAGATATCCAGCTATGGGACTGTAGGTATGGCAATACTTAGGCACCCTCACACTCTAGGAAACTCAATATTGTTTCCCTGGAGGAATTCCAGATGAAAGGTATAATTTTCAGTGCTTTGGTACAGTTACTGGTTCTAGATTCTCCTTATAACACAGTAAATCCTCACTATTTGAGTTTAGTGCCACTTTATAGGCTCCAAATACAACCTGAGACTATGATTCAAGGGAGATCTATAGGGACACAATGGCCCATTTGAAGACTGCAGGTTGCAGGCTCTGTAAAGGGTGTGAAGTTTCAGTACTTATGATGTAAAAAAAAAACATTGTATGTAAGGTCACATTGTATGTACAGGCTTAAGGTTTTTACCTTAATGTTCTCTACATTAAAGTATAACTAAAGGAAAAACTTTTTTTTTTTTTTAGTTTTGGATAGAGTGGAAGGGATTAGAACATGTTTTTATTGTTGTGTATGCCCCCTTCGGGAGATTTGCCCTCTCTATTTGTTCTGTTTACCATTATCATTGAAAGTGAAAGTAAAGAAAACCCCAAATTTTTGGTTGTCCCCTGAAAAAAGTAATAGTGGGGAAATTTTCCAATGTGGACAATTGTGGTGACCTGGGGGGCCCCAAGGAATTCCCTTAATGTACGGAGATTATATCCTGTTTTGGCTATGGGACAGGAAGCGAAGGTAAATCTCCCCCTTGGGACTGAGATGGCAAAAATTAAACTGACAGGGGTTATAACCTTCCCTCACTCTATTCAAAATGAAAAAAAGTTCTACTTTAAAGTAAAATGCCTTCCATGGTCAGCTCCCCCCCTTACCCCCTAAATACTTACCTCAACCTGATCTTTATCCAGAGCTGTGCCTGAGAGCAGCAGTGCTGCTCTCTCTCCTCGTAGGACATAAAAATAGCAATGGGAGCCATTGGCTCCTGCTGCTGTCAATAAAATCCTGTGAGGAAGGAAAGGGGGCAGGGCCAAGCTGCTCTACATGTGTAAATAGACACAAACAGCCTGACACAGGATCAAGCCTGCATAAGTACCCCTATAACAAGCTGCTTTTTATGAAGGGCACTCGGAGAAGAGAAAAAGGAGCCTTTAGCGCCGATGGGGTCCCCCAGAAGATGAGGTTCTGGACCACTCTGTGCAAAACCACTGCACAGTGCAGGTAAATATAACATGTTTATTATTTTTAAAAATTCTAACTTTGCAATCACTTTCATGTTTTTAATAATGGAGTTTTTAATTCACCCCATTGATATGAATTTGTGAGTCTAGACCAGCCTTCCTCAACCAGGGTGCCCAGATGCCCTGGGGTGGCTTGAAGTTTCTTCAGGGGTGCCTTGGCAAAATGTCTAAAAATTGTCCAAAAACTTGTATACAAGCCAGCGGGTGGAGCAAGCCTACCTTTTAGTTACACAAGGTCACAGGTTTTCAACGTGCACCATTACAACCTTCTAGCTGCCAGCGTTCTGACAACCAATGACATCAGTTGATAAGGAGGATATCAGCTGCCTGCACAGCATCCTAGTTTGACCCTCCCCAGCCCCTCTCCATCAGTGTTAGGGTCACATTAGCTCAGTGATGGAGAAAAACTGAGGCAGAAGAGAAATACTGGAATACTACTCAGTACCAGTGTGCAAAAGTATGTGCTTTGTAAGAATAAATCACCTCCACTGTTAGGTGTCCTACGTGTGTGGATGTTGCTGTGTTTATATAAAACTATTAGAATAGTTTTTCACATTTTAGAATGGGGTGCTATTTTAAAATTATGGACAGCCTAGAGCAGGGGTGTCAAACCGGTGGCCATCCAGCTGTTGCTACACTACAAGTCCCATGAGGCATTGCAAGGCTGACAGTTACAAGCATGACTCCCAAAGGCAGAGTCATGTTGTAGTTTCACAACAACTGGAGGGCCACCAGTTTGACACACCGGGTCTAGAGGCTTTCCATTTTAGAATGGGGTGCCTCAAGATTGTCCATAAATTTTAAAGGGTGCCTTGTCTGAAAAAAGGTTGAGAAACACTGGTCTAGACATAATGAGGTTTCATATTTTGTTTTTACAGCCGGAAGCAGAACAAAGTTTACAGGACCTGATTCAGTGATTGACATTATCCAGGAATACAGGCTGACCAAAGGCCACAGAATAATATCTACAGGCATTGGTATGTAAAAAGGTCTAAAAAGAGCTTCTGAACATTTTTTATTAAAATACAGTATAAGTGTATTAAAGCTTTACATTTAAATTGGTTCCATAGTATATATGGTTATCATGAGGTGTCCAACAATTCAAATTTCGTCAAACGCTACCTTTTATTTAATTTTGGATAGAGTAGAGAAGGGTGAGAGCCCCGGTTAGATTTTTATTGCTATCTTTTTTCCCCATATGGGAGATTTTTCTCTAACTGGGACGCAGACAAAAATAAGAACACTATTTAGGTAAGATAAGGAAGACATACTACTTTTTGTCTTCAGTATTCTAATTACTGTTTGTGCCTTTCTGCCCCTGTGACATCCCCGCACCCCGATTTCCTCCATAGAAACCTTCAAATAGGAAAAAGAAACCCCACAAAATAGGTGCACTACTACTGTATGTTACAGTATCAAAAAGTGTATTGCTATATAGAAAAAGTCAAAAACACTAATCCATAAAATTATCCAAAATTATTAAAGGATTGTTTACTTTTAAAGTGCATATTCCCTTTGCAAAGGGTCCACGTACAGTATCTCAGTGATTGGGTTGAAATTAAAGTGGAAGTAAAAGCGTGTTATAAATGTTAAAACCATTGAATCCCTGATCCTCCTACCTATGCTGCATAGCCTTTAGAAAAGCCAGCAGAGGAAATATATTTTCTTTTGTTTGCTCTGGTGCTGTCACATTATGCAGAAGCTGCCAGATGACGTCACTGCTCCAGGAATTCAGAGATGCTGTCAAGTGCTCCCTGGTTAAGGGCATCTGGAGAAACTCAATCACATGACCATACTGGAACGGGTAAAAGAAAAGGTATTTCCATCTATCTCTTTTATAAAGACTATGCAGCATGGGTAGAAGGGAGAGAGAGTGTTTTTAACAACATCCATAGTTAGCCTTTACTTGCAATTTGAGTAAAAACAGAATACAAACTTGCAAGAGAAAAAAAAAATCAGGCTTTTTCATGCACCTGATTGAAGTCAACTCATTTGCTAAAGTTAGCCATACATGAGCCATCATGCGGTTCACCCATCTTTGCTAAACAGTGCAGATGAAGGGATTTCCCCTGATGGCTATTGTATTCAAGCAACTGCAGTGCCCAAGTTGTCTCAATTCCCAAACAGTGACTATATCTGATTGAATGCATCAGCTATATCTGATTGAATCTATCGCAGGGGCGGACTGACCATTTGGAAACTCGGGCACTGCCCGAGGGCCCCATGAGATGCCCCTGGTACCTTTTTCATAGGCTTTTTTGAGTTTGGGCAAGGACACAGGGGCCCCATGATCCCCTATTGCCCGGGGGCCCCATGAGTTGTCAGTCCATCCCTGATCTATCATCTGACAATTTTCTGCCCAGCTCCTTAATTTTTTACATCACTGTTTTTAGAGGTTTGCGGTTGGTGCTAACAGGGCTACCCACTGCTTTAATTTCAGCTGATCCAGGAAAATAAATATGTAAAAATCCAAGGAAATTTTTAAATTTTTCCTTGCACATATGCTTTGTAAAGTGAATTTTCTTTTTTTTTTCATCGCAGTCACTAAAATAAGTGAAAATTCCCTCTGTAATGGAAAAATTTACTTTGAAAGTGAGCATGCTCTCCTCATTTAGTAAATCACGGTCAATATGTAAAGGGAATGTGATGACAAGCAATTTGTCAATGTGGTTGAGACCTGGGTCTGTGTTGGAATATCACACACAATCAGTGGGGCATTTAGTTTTTGTGCTGCCCTAGGCAACACAAAAATCCCCCCCCCCCCCCCCGACACACACACACAGAGAGCCCCATTGACCAACATTGACCCATACATCACACACACCAGCACTCCCAAACTGATAAATGTAGTAACCATGTGAATATGTTTTGGCTTTAGATATGCTCTAATCTCTATATAAATAGGCCTATGGTGGTGATGGGTAGGTTCCATTCACACCAGCCTCCGCTTTATAATACAACAGCTGGTGTGTGGTGCGGCCAAGAGGGAATCACTGCTCTGTGACGCACCAGTTCGTTTTTTTTTTGTGTATTAAACTTTTTTCAAATGTCACACAGACATTTTATAAAGTTTGATTGGCGAGGCAGTGCCTTGCAAAAAGTTGTATGAATCGGGCAAACCGGAGACAAGGTATTTTACCTTGTCATGTGTGGGACTATGCTGGAATGATGCAGTCCTACCACATCTAGTGTGACTGGACCCTTAAAGAGGTTTTAAAGGCTCAAGGTTTTTTACCTTCATGCAATCTTTGCATAAAAGGTAAAAAACCTTCTGTGTGCAGCAGTGCCCCCAGCCCCTTCAACACTTACCTGAGCCCCATCACGATCCATAGATGTGCACAACAGCTTCGACTGCCCCGGATCTCTGCCTCCTTATTGGCTCAGACAGCAAGTGAGAGCCATTGGCTCTTGCTGTTGTCAAAACCAGCCAGTCAGTCAATGAGGAGAGACAGGTCGTGTGGCCAAGCCACAGCTCCATGTGTGTAAATGGACACATGGAGCAGTGGGTGCCCCCATAGCAAGCTGCTTGCTGTGGGGGCACCCGAAAAAGAAGAAGCCAAGAGAGCCCGCGGGGGACCCGAGAGAGGAGAATCCAGGATGCTCTATACAAAACCACTGCACACAGCAGGTAAGTATAACATGTTTGTTATTTTACAAAAAAATATGAACCTTTAATATCACTTCAAAACATATGTATAGACAAAAAAAAACCCAAATGCAATACATACACGTTTTTCTTTGTTTTATCTCTTTAATCAAGCTGCAAAAAATGACTGTTGATATGGCACAAGTATAACGTGCTCCTACCATTTTTTGCATGACAACAGAGCTCTGATTTCCTAAGCATCTGTTGTCAGCTCTGTCTGCTTCATTTCTGATGGATTAGAAAGCACACAGATCTCTCCTCATTTTCCCCCTCCTCATTTCCATAACTCCTCTTTGTGCACAGGCACAGGAAGATTCCTGACAAAATCAACAAATGCTTGTGCATCCATGAAGCAGACATAACACAAAAATCAATGGCTTGTTTAGCAGACCAAAAGAGAGGAAATAAGAGAAGTTCATCAATAGGGTTACATACACTTCAAAGGTAAAAGTAGCACTGTTGCACATATAGTTACATAGTTAGTGTGGCTGAAAAAAGACAAAAAGTCCATCCAGTTCAACCAGTTATAACCCTATACCCACAGTTGATCCAGAGGAAGCCAAGAAATCTCAGCAAAGCATGATCCAATTTGCTCCAGCAGGGAAAAAAATTAATTCCTGATCCCCGAGAGGCAATCGGATATTCCCTGGATCAACTTTACCTATAAATGTTAGTATCCAGTTATATTCTGTGTATCTAAGAAATAATCCATGTATTTTTTGAAGCAATCCACTGAGCTGACCAGAACCAACTCTTGAGGGAGTCTATTCCACATTTTCACAGCTCTCACTGTGAAGAAACCTTTCCGTGTTTGGCGATTAAATTTCTTTTCCTCCAGACGTAAATAGTGCCTCCTTGTCCTCTGTGATGACCTCAGGGTGAATAACTCTACACCGAGTTCACTATATGAACCACTGACGTATTTATACATGTTCATCATATCCCCCCTTAATCTCCTCTTCTCAAAGAGAATAAATTCAGTTCCTCTAATATTTCCTCATAGCTGAGCTCCTCCGTGCCTCTTATCAGTTTAGTTGCCTTTCTCTGTACTTTCTCCAGTTCCCCAATGTTCTTTTTGTGAATTGGAGTCCAAAACTGATCTGCATATTCCAGATGAGGTCTTTCTAATGATTTTTATCAACCTAAGAAAGCCACTGATCGGGCTGCTCAGGAGCACTCTTCCATTACATCAGCTCCACTTTTTATATATCATATACACTTTGGAAAGTTGTAACCAAAAGTCTTCTCCTTTCTATGCAGCTTCTGTTATCACCACAAACACCGCTGCCTCTGCACAAGCTACGTCTCAGGGGATTCAATCCCCAAATCTCTATAATGTCACTCCAACAAGGAGCCCTTCCCCAGCTGTTGCAACCTTTGCCCCTCAGCTGAAAGTGAAGAACATGGGGAGGAGGAGGAAGTCTGAGATGAACCAGTCCATGTCACTAGGTAATGTCTGCTCCATACAATCTTTTTTATTATTATAATGAGTGTTAAAATAAATCACAGCTCCTGTATTAAAAGTAGAGAAAGGGAAAATTGAGGCTGTTCGGTCTACAAAGACCAATAAGATAATATTGTATTTTGTTGACCTGTGAAGTGTTCAAAGTTGAGCTCCGTGCAGGTATAAAAGACATAAATGATGCAGATCTGTATTCATTTGGGCTACATTCACATTTGTGACTGATGTGAATGTACAATATATATGTAAAGCGCTGCGTAAATTGATGGCGCTATATAAGTACCTGTAAAAAAAAAAAAAATTTGTGCTTCTGCATTTTCATGTGTTAGAAGTGTGTTTTTTAATGCATGTTTCACACACTCCTATTGAAATCTATGGGGCCAAAAGGTGTATGTGTGCAACAAAGAAAGCACCTGCTTGTTTCCCCAGGATGCACAGAAGAGATACTCTCAGGTGTGAACAGGCCACATTAAAACAATGGTAATCCTCTTGTCATGCACAGTTGTGAACAGAGACTGATACTTCATTACATGCATCTTTATTTTCCATACAAGCAGTGTAAGGGTCCTTTCACACGGAGCGAACACGTTTAGCGGATCCGCTTGCTCAGCGTGGAATCTCTCCGCTGATCCCTGCTGAGCAAACAGATGACAGCTCTGTGACTGCTCCGCTGCTGCAGAGCAGACACAGAGCTGCTTGCTCTCCTCTATGGGCAGTCGAATGAAAATGGGCCACCTGTCCGTTTTCATCTGATCCGATCCAACGGATGGAAAGGGAATTGGATCCCCATCTGTCCCTTTTTGACATCGGATCAGATGTCCTTGGGTGTAAACGGACACATGTCCATTTATACCCACTGCTCCATAGAGGAGAATGGAGGTTCCGAGAGGATCCACCTGAAAAACAAGCAGGCGGACCCGATAGAAACATTCATGTGAAAGAGCCCTAAAACATCCTTCACACTGCCAATACCATTTTTGTGATTATATGCACTGATATGAAGTCCATATAAATGCATGTATTGGTTTTAAATGGTATCATTTCTGCTGCACAGTGTGAATTGGATAGATACTTTAAAGGCATGTAAACACACAAAACTCATGTACATTTAAAGTGTTATTAAACCCACAACAGTAAAATCATTCTGTATATGCAGTAAAGCATGTTTAGTATACTCACTGTGGAACCTAAGGGGTTAATCCTCTCCATTGTGTAAAAAGGATGTTTGATCCTGTCTTTTCTAAACCTCCCCTTCTTCTACTGTCCCCAATCCATCTGCTAATTGAACAGAGCCTTGGGTGCAAGCTGCACATGATCAGTTTGGTATGTATTGCTAGAGGGTTTTTTTTTTCTTGGGAGAGTGCATGTGATCAACACCGGGCCAATCAGCGCTGTCCAGACAGAGGGTCAGGTTTCCTGCAGCCTCATAGGAAAGAATGAAAACTCCTCCTACAAGCTTTAACCAGTTCTCTGCTGGACACTGTTAGAAGTCACAAACAGGGGTGGACTGACCATTTGGGAACTCGGGCACTGCCCGAGGGCTCGGGGTCAGTAGGGGGCCCCATGAGATGCCCCTGGTACCTTTCATAGGCTTTTTTTGGGTGTGGTTTGAGTGTGGGTGAGGACACAGGGGCCCCATGATCCCCTATTGCCCGGGGGCCCCATGAGTTGTCAGTCCGCCCTTGGTCACAAGACTGCTCTAACTGCTGATGAGAAAAGATATTTAGCAATTTATATTTAGTAAAATAATTGCATTTCCATGTTTTGTGTACTGTGGGAGACCAGATATAGTGAATGCAGGGTCCTGGGTTTGGTAACACATTAAAAGCAGGAGAGCTTGACCTTGGGAGCAAAAAGATTTTTTTTTACTTCCCAGATCATTATAAGCCAAACACAGGTGGCTAGTATGAATGTAGCCTTAGTATTTGACTGGGTTTCAGCCTATTGCAATATATTGTACAACAGAGCTTAGACTGCGAGAAGGAGAAGCAGCTCAATGAGCCAATCATCTGTGTTACACTTCTCATGAGCTAACAAGGAACATTCTGAAGGAGAGTGACAGCAAAATTAACTCATCAGTCTTCACCTTCTCTTTCACTGTCCAGTCGCAGGCTAGGTGAGGGACAAGATCTGTAAGTGCTACTTAAAGCGGAGCTCCACCCAAAAGGGGAAGTTCCGCTTTAAGCCTTTGTCCCCCACTCTCCATTAAGGATTGGCATATTTGGGGGCGGGTACCCAAATTTGACAGGTACCTGCTCTCACTTCTGCTACGATCACCTAGGACAGTGGTCGGCAAGCCGCGGCTCGCGAGCCACATGCGGCTCTTTACAAACTTAAATGCGGCTCTTCTGTGTGCCGGGCGCCCGCTCCCCTCCCTCCTCTCGGGCGGCCACCCCAAAAGTCAGGAATCTGCAGCTGTCAGGATGTAGGCGGGGCAGCGTGACAAACTCCTCTCCTCTCACAGTCCGCCCTGAAGACCAGAACGGCGCGGGAACACGGCGCGGGAACACGGCGAGAAGAACGCGCGGAGCAAAGGTAAGTGAATTGACACAGGGGGACTTGGGGACTTAATATGGGGGATGAATTTATGGGGGATGAATTACTATATGGGGGATGAATTACTATGGGGGATGAATTAATATGGGGAATGAATTACTATATGGGGGATGAATTACTATATGGGGGATGAATTACTATATGGGGGATGAATTACTATGGGGGATGAATTACTATAGGGGGGATGAATTACTATGGGGGATGAATTACTATAGGGGGGATGAATTACTATAGGGGGGGATGAATTACTATATGGGGGATGAATTACTATGGGGGATGAATTACTATATGGGGGATGAATTACTATATGGGGGATGAATTACTATGGGGGATGAATTACTATATGGGGGGGGATGAATTGCTATGGGGGATGAATTGCTATGGGGTATGAATTACTATATGGGGTATGAATTACTATATGGGGGATGAATTACTATATGGGGGATGAATTACTATATGGGGGATGAATTACTATATGGGGGATGAATTACTATATGGGGGATGAATTACTATAGGGGGGATGAATTACTATAGGGGGGATGAATTACTATATGGGGGATGAATTACTATGGGGGATGAATTACTATATGGGGGATGAATTACTATATGGGGGATGAATTACTATGGGGGATGAATTACTATATGGGGGATGAATTACTATGGGGGATGAATTACTATATGGGGGATGAATTGCTATGGGGGATGAATTGCTATGGGGGATGAATTGCTATGGGGGATGAATTACTATATGGGGGATTAATTACTATATGGGGGATTAATTACTATATGGGGGATGAATTACTATGGGGGATGAATTACTATATGGGGGATGAATTACTATATGGGGGATGAATTACTATGGGGGATGAATTACTATGGGGGATGAATTACTATGGGGGATGAATTACTATATGGGGGATGAATTACTATGGGGGATGAATTACTATATGGGGGATGAATTACTATATGGGGGATGAATTACTATATGGGGGGATGAATTACTATATGGGGGATGTATTTTCAGTTTTAAAAATGTGGCTCTCACAATAAATTTCAATCGTGGTTTTGGCGAGATTTGGCTCAGTTGAAAAAAAAGGTTGCCCACCACTGACCTAGGAGATCGGAAGCGGAAGTTGTCCGCCCTCCCCATAGTCTTCTGGAACACATGACAGGTCCCAGAAGACTACGGGGCCATTCACAAAGCGCAGCGCTACTCGTGCATGCGCAGTGGGCACACGGCTGTAAAGCCGCAAGCTGTCACAGCCGGGTGACCACACTGTAGATGCCAACACCAGGGAGAGAAGACGGCCGGTGAAACCAGCATTGGTGAGGACACTGCTGGACCGAGGGACTCTTTTTTTATTTTTTTTTTAGGTGGAACTCCGCTTTAACTACACAAAAATCAGGTCTCCTCCCCTTCTCCCCCCTGCCAGACAGGATGTGCTGTGTAAATCTCAGAACTTGGTGGACAAAAATAAAAATCCTATGACAGATAAAACTGCTCTCATGTATGAATTTAATTTGTGTATATAGCAGTTTTCCCAGTGTCCTGGTTTAAAGTGAGAGGACAGTCAAAACGTCAACTGGAACTATGTGTGGGAGATTTCTGCTCATTTCCTGTTCACACGATACCAATCACTAGAACTGGAAATGGGGAGAGAATTCTCCCCAATATTGTACATTTAATTTTTGTTGCAGCTCATGGAACTAGGAATATTTCCCCTTACTCTTGAACTGGCATCGGTGGACTGGAGTCCAATCTTCCAAATAGGGACAACAATATTTTTTTCTTTTTTTAGGAGAGTGGGTAAAAATTTAAATCCTTGTCAGTTTTTGTTGCTGTCCAGGTTCCACATTAGGAATATTTTCTTCACTCCCTGTCCTGGAGACTTGTGCCTTCTAGACAGGAAGTGAGGGGTAATCTCCCAAACAGGGTTAATTAATGCCTGATAGAGGTTCTAACAGTTCTCTATTCTTTTCTTTCCTTGGTGGATTTCCATTTTAAAGCAGTACTAGACTTGGCAAAGGTTTAAGGGAAAGGGAGTGTTTGTATATTTTCTGAAAAGCACCGTGTTTTTTGTCATACTGTCAAAAATGCTGCCAACGAGGTTACTTCTCTTTAGAACAAATAAACTTTTATTAATTGAAAATGTATTAAAAGGCCATGTTACTGACACATGACCTAGATTAGATATCCATAGCATAGACACACTGTGGGCCAGCCTGGAGAATAATGAATAAAGGTAGTTTTTTAGAGGTTGCAAAATAAATTACCGTATCACCCAATAGATGGCTTCCATTCAGTAGCCCAAAAAGGCATGCAGAAAAAAGGAATTTGTGAAAAGGAATTCACAGAAAAGCGGCTACATTATGAACAGAATGTGATACTCAGAAAAATTTCCAAAAATTATGCTTTATTACACATAAATATTTGACATATGGGCAATCGCCCTGGTTTACCATCACCTCAGTATGAGACAATACACACAGACCTAAAACCATATAAAATGACACCAAGACCGGTCTGGACAGATGTGCAACAAGGACAATGACCGCTATAGTCTAAAGTCCTTGCAGCACTGGCACATAGGTTGACACTTCCTAAAGGAGGTGTATGCAAAAATTATACCATAGGTATACAGTGTCACATTCTATATATATAGACATATGTCATAACCATATAGGTTATACCCCATATGGGGGGATTTCCAAAAATTATACCAAGGGTATATCATATCACATGCATGCAGTACAGCGAGCACAGTAATCGTCAAAAGAGAGGCATAACCATAAGCCTATATTAGGCAATAGATGGATATCACATAAATAATGCAGTACAATCCTTTGCCGACACATGTGGTTGGGGCCCATTAATCTATAATAAAAGTGACTGGTTATTAGGACTCTTAAAATGAAAAGAGCCCCGATTGTTGCCTTGATGGAGAAATAGATGCAAGTAGCAGAACACTGCTTTAAATGGTTTCTTCACCACAACATGTGGACTGCAAACCACTTTTTGTTGGAAACAAGATAAGGCCCAATGGATCTTCCGCCTGTTGAAATATACGTGGTATGCCTTGTTTCTATGTGAAGCACCATAATGTCCCCATCCTGTAGTAAGACAAGCAATATGAGAATAGTCACTGTAAGAGCTTTCACTCTATGGTAGACGTTATTGTCATATAAATCGCATGGGACCTTTTATCTAATGTCCTGTAACAGTCCACTCACCACCTGTGCAATGGGTAATAGGAAAGGAAAAGAAGTCCTTCATAAGTGCTGCCGTGTGGAACCAGGGAACCACCGCTTACATCAGCCGACATATCGCGGGTTCCGACCTCTCCATGGCGCCTGTACTGCCTTAGCATGACTCATGGCATGTGAAAATGGCTACCTCCTTGTAGGTCGGCGTGCGTTCCACCTAGTGCGCATGACCGGAAGTGACGTATCTGACGTATGACGTCAACGCGTTTCGCCGATGGGCGTATCTCACTCAGCTTCGTCAGGACCAATGAGATTCCTGCATTTCAACTTCCTATTTATAGTGGGTTAAGACCCACCCACTTATGCAAAAAAATTAACTTGCAGTTATTCTCAATGGGAGAAAAAAGGCTAAATACTTAGCACAGCCGCTGGTCATTATTAAATTAAATTAAAAAGACAGGCGACTGGATATATCAGGTTCCCTGGTTCCACACGGCAGCACTTATGAAGGACTTCTTTTCCTTTCCTATTACCCATTGCACAGGTGGTGAGTGGACTGTTACAGGACATTAGATAAAAGGTCCCATGCGATTTATATGACAATAACGTCTACCATAGAGTGAAAGCTCTTACAGTGACTATTCTCATATTGCTTGTCTTACTACAGGATGGGGACATTATGGTGCTTCACATAGAAACAAGGCATACCACGTATATTTCAACAGGCGGAAGATCCATTGGGCCTTATCTTGTTTCCAACAAAAAGTGGTTTGCAGTCCACATGTTGTGGTGAAGAAACCATTTAAAGCAGTGTTCTGCTACTTGCATCTATTTCTCCATCAAGGCAACAATCGGGGCACTTTTCATTTTAATAGTCCTAATAACCAGTCACTTTTATTATAGATTAATGGGCCCCAACCACATGTGCCGGCATAGGATTGTACTGCATTATTTATGTGATATCCATCTATTGCCTAATATAGGCTTATGGTTATGCCTCTCTTTTGACGATTACTGTGCTCGCTGTACTGCATGCATGTGATATGATATACCCTTGGTATAATTTTTGGAAATCCTCCCATATGGGGTATAACCTATATGGTTATGACATATGTCTATATATATATAGCATGTGACACTGTATACCTATGGTATAATTTTTTTGCATACACCTCCTTTAGGAAGTGTCAACCTATGTGCCAGTGCTGCAAGGACTTTAGACTATAGCGGTCATTGTCCTTGTTGCACATCTATCCAGACCGGTCTTGGTGTCATTTTATATGGTTTTAGGTCTGTGTGTATTGTCTCATACTGAGGTGATGGTAAACCAGGGCGATTGCCCATATGTCAAATATTTATGTGTAATAAAGCATAATTTTTGGAAATTTTTCTGAGTATCACATTCTGTTCATAATGTAGCCGCTTTTCTGTGAATTCCTTTTCATAAATTCCTTTTTTCTGCAGCCTGGAGAATACCCTGACTCCTCTTCCCCTATCTTCTCTAGTTTGGGTACATCCATGATGTTGTCCCTCCCATTCAACCCTTCTAATCCGTATATTTCCCCTCTTGTAGTTATGGGACTCATCACTTAAAAGGATCCAAGTTTCCTCTTATACAGGCTCCATGACCCTCACTTGGGAAACCCAGGTTTAACTCCTGGCCTCCATCTAGTCATTTTCTTGTGGACAAGTGGGCACCTTCCCCCTGTTTTTACAGCATTACAAGCTGGTCATTTGGAATCTCTCTCCCCTTTATCCACAGACCAATCCCCTCAACCTGGCCTCTGATTCCACTATTCCCAGCTGAAGTTTTACATTGCTTACCTCAACAAAGTAGGAACTATCTGTAGGTATTTTACCACATCCTACATGGTGATCCCCATACAGTGTGGGTTTCTACAGGCCCTGACCTGACCTACTGGCACAGTTGATAATGTATCCTTTTTGTGACTGTGCATGGATTTCTCTTATACCCTATAGTACATATAGTACACACCAACTCTTTGCACCTCTTCTGTGCTTTGTTGTATATTGAAAATGTTAAACTTCCATTCCTTTCTGTCTTCTCCTTCAGCTCTGACTGTGATATGTAGTCTCACGGCTGTGTCTGGACTCCTTGTGGCAGCTTTGTGTTGGTATAGGTAGGTGATATGGTGCATTATTATTATACAGGATTTATATAGCGCTCACAGTTTGCGTAGCACTTTACAACATGAGGGCAGACAGTAAAGTTACAATACATTTTAATACAGGAGGAATCAGAGGGCCCTGCTCGTTAGAGCTTACACTCTAAAAGGAAGAGTCAAGTGATACAAAAGGCAATAGCTATGGGGGATGAGCGGATGGGAGAAAATAAAAGTACAGTTGTTAGGTGGGGGTAGAATAGGCTTCTCTGAAGAGAAGGGTTTTCAGGGATCGTCTAAAAGAAAACAGAGTAGGAGATAGACAAATTGGGGTAAGGAGTTCCAAAGGATGGGAGAGGCTCAGGAAAAGTCCTGGAGGTGAGAATGGGAGGGGGTGACAAAGAGCTAGAGAGCAGGAGGTCCTGGGAGGAAAGTAGAGAACTATTAGGTTGGTATTTTGAGACCAGGTTAGTGATGTAGCTGGGGGTCAAGTTGTGGATGGCTTTGTAAGTTGTTGTTAGTATTTTTAATTTATTTTGTTGGGTAAGCGGAAACCAGTGGAGGGATTGACAGAGAGGAGCAGCAGACACTGAATGGTTGGTAAGGTGGATGAGCCTGGCAGCAGCATTCATGATGGACTGAAGTGGGGGATAGCCTATGTAAAGGTAATCCAGTGAGGAGGGAGTTGCAGTAGTCGAGACAAGAGATGACCAGGGAGTGAGCTAGGAGCTTGTGGTGTAATTGGTTAGGAAGGGGTGTATTTTGGCGATGTTGCATAGGTTGAGACGGCAAGCTTCGGACAGTGATTAGATGTAGGGCAAAAAGGATAGTTCAGAGTCCAGGATTACACCTTGAACCTTGGCATGTGGGGACGGGTTGATAGTTATGCCATTGATCTAGAAAGAGAAATCAGGGGAAGAGGCATGCGGGGAGGTAATATTATGAGCTCAATTCTGGATAGACTGAGTTTGAGGAAGTGGTGTGACACCCAGGCTGATTATCTTTTAGTAAAGATACATTGTATAGTTTATATCAGAATAACAATTTAAATTTCACACAGACGCAAGATGGCATATTTGATACCAGAGAACCTAGATCACGTTTTCCCTCCTAATTCACATGCCTTTCTGGAAATACAAATTTCAGCATACCCTCTCAGATGTATGGTACAAACCTGATATATGCCTAGTACAATCCTTAAAGCACATATCATGTCAAATAAACAAAAGAAAAAAAAAACAATACTTTTTTTCAAGACATTTTCCAAGACCCTGCAAGTACAGAAAAATACCTATTGATGTACCTGGGAATGCATTTGGTTCCAAAGTTCCAGTTACAGGCTGACAACACATAAGCAGCATTACAGCAAAGGAACCAATTTACTTGTAGTCCTAATATAAGAACTAGAAGGGTGTATAGGGAGGATTGTACCTCCTGCGCAAGTTCCTCTATTTTTAAGGAAACTGGAATAATTACCTGCAGACGAGTTAAGGCTCCGAATTATATTTATTGTTGCATATACGTATATGGGAAATACAGTGTCCGCCCGCACTGTATTCCACTTTTCATAGAGTTCTTCTCTGCTTATGTATCCTTTCTTATCAAGTAGCAACAGGGAGGATTAAAGGACCAAGGCAGACACTCCACCTAAAATGTTACGCACGCCTGCTGGCACAGTCACAATCTAGATGTGTGTGTGTCATTTGCAGTAAACAACTTGAAGCATCTCTGATGAGACAAAATGGAGTATACATAGCCATCTTATAATACTCTATATATGTGACTCAGTAAGGATAATAGTCATCCCTATACAAGGGTTAAATAGAATATTTGAAATACCGTAGGCAGAGGGCACGGGACAAGTTTGATTTATTTGTGTTAAATAAAGGAATTACAAAAAAAACATAACATATTACATGCATAGGCAGATCACCATAAATCTACCTAAAAGAGTGCAATGTCATTCAAGCATTACGAATATGACTGTCATAACCAGTAGGGAACATGTACATTGGGTGGCTTTCAATTTTTAACAAGAGCAGCTGTTTTTTTTTGCATTTGTAAAACAGGTATAACAAAATACCTTGAATAATATATGTAACAGACAAACAGAGAAAATAAAAGGATACCTTGCATGAGGACATGTCCCCTCAGGCATCCCTCCTATAACCCTACCCCACACCACGAGTCCTTAATTTTTTACTAGTATTTTAAGGTGATGGACCTCCTCTGCTTTATGGAGAAATCACATTAGATGAGGCAGAAATGAGCCACCTCAAACTTTGAAAACATGAGAACAGAAGACCAGGCAGTCTTGCAGATCTAGAAAACAGACCAGATACCAAAAAGCCCAAAAGGCACTCACTGCACTAGTACAGTGAGCCTTAACTGGCAAGGTGGAGGGGACCTGATCCTTTAGATCATAAGTTTGAACAGTGATTGTTCTTAACCACTGAGGAATGTTGGATTTTTTTGAATGGCAAAAAGGTAATTAGTCTTCCTGAAAAAAACAGTGGATGAAACCTGTACAGGAAATAGCAAAAAGCAGGGCACTGAGGTTAATACCAAGAAAAAAAAAAATCACCTTTATTAAAAGCAGCACACTTGTCAGACTTGTTGACACATGTCAGAAATCACCAATCCACCAATGGATAATGACACAGCTGGTTGAAACACCAGACCTGATCTGCTGAAGGTACACAACTGAAGGTTCCTGCTTTATGAGGTGATCCTGCCCAAATCTCACAGGAGCTGCAGAGGTGAATCACGTTCCATCCATCCATCCATCCATTCATTCATCCACCCTTCATTCATTCATCCCTTCATTCACTCCTCTACCATTCATCTACTATTGCAGTAATAGCTGCCATACGACAGATTCTTAGTTTGTTTATCCATGGGCTAATTGTTACACAGGACAGAGGAGCACTGGATGTTCTGTGTAATTTTTACACGTTTCTTTTAATGAAACTTGTACATCCCAAACCAAATCTAGGCAATAGATGAAATGGGTTTTTTGTATGCTGGTGCTGGACAGAGAGAGACAGAAGAACAATGTTCTGACTAAGGTGGAAGGCAGAGACTACCTTGGAAAAAAAAAGCCCTGGGTCTCAACACCACTTTATGCAAAACCAAAAAGGGTTCTTTGCAGGATAAAACTGCCAATTCAGACACTCACCTAGCAAAGGTGATGGCCACAAGAAATACAAGGAATGTCCCCATTAGGTTTAAACAGGGACTTCTAAATGCCTAGAGAAGTAGATTCAAGTCCCACTAAGTCTGAAACTGGACTGTGGAACAACCAAGGGAAACCCCCTGCACCAAGGTCTTAAACAGAGAGTGGGAAGCCAAGGGTCTCAAGGGAACAGAATAAAGCAAAAACTTGGCCCTCTGTTCCAGACCCAACTGCAGGAAATAGAGAACTCTTTTTACAGAGAAACACCTAGGATGAAAACCCCTAGACTGACAGCAAGTAAAGTACACCTTCCACATTCAATGATGAGTTTGTAGGGGAAAGGCTTGCCAGTGGATTTGTCAGTCTTGGAGTGCCATACCTTGTGGGCACAGAGGGAAGTACCCTTGGCAGGTTTTGAAGTGAAAGGTGAGAATGAAGCGAAGAGACAGCAAGCCAGCTGGGCAGTACCATGTGAAGATGGCTTAGCTGTTTTCTCCTTTGGCTTCTATTGATAAGGAAGATGAGTGCTTTTGCCCCTGGTAAAAACTTTGATGACAAAATCTAGAGTCAGTTCAAAGAGACATTATACCTTGAAAGCCATGATCAGGTGCTTCTTGCAAGAAAACTCTGCAGTCCAATAATAGCCAAATATGGTATTTCACTACTGTGCATAATAAAAGAAATGAAGGTTTTTTTCTCTTCTGAATGAATGTTGTTTCATTATGGGTAGCAGTAAAATACCGCATTATGGCCACTAGATGAGTTGAGGAGGATAGGAAATACATACGTCTTTGAAACAAGAGATATCATGTAACAATTCCAGAGATTTCAAAGGAAAGTTGTAAAAAATAGATAAATAAAAAAACAAATAACTACATTCACTTTCTAATTCACTCTAGTGATCTCTAGATGTGTTACATCATATCTCTTGTACGAAGTCATATGTATTTTCTATGCTTTTCAGTTCTATCTAGTGACCATAATGCAAAATTATACTACTGCCCATAAAAAAGAACATTAGTTCAGAAAGGAAAATAGGCTAAATGTCTTTCATTTTTGACCAATTCACACAGAACAAATGTACATGCAAATTCCCTAGATGAATGACTATGCATATGTTCCTCAATGGTAGAGAAAGAAGGGTTTACATACACTTTACAACTAAACCTTAGATGTAAAAAACACTAAACAAATGACATTTAAATGAGAATAGCCAAAGCTACCTTGCTTATAGGTCTCCTATGGATCACAGGAGTGCAGTTTGTTCTTCACTCCTGTGACCCATTTTCAGCCGACAGCGGGCTAAAGCCACTCCAGGCTCTGAAGCGGTCCCAACCATATGGTCAAGATTCACCCAGAAGCCTGAACCAGCACCTGGCTTAGCCTCTCAGCAATCCGCTGTGAGACTGAATCAGCCCCCTCCTGCCCCCTCTACAGCTCAGCACTCCAGTGACAGTTCCAGCTCTCCGCTTAGAGTGGAGGGGGAATCAAAAAAGCCAGAAAGAGAGCTCCGTCACATACCAGGGAATTAAGGAATATGGCTGTAGTAGTTCTTTAACTATATGATGAAAGTGGTTCATCACTCCATATAAAATCCTATAGTCAGCTAATTGTGACTATTTTGTCTTCAACCTTTCCTAGGTTACAGAAAGAGGTGAGACTGGCTCAGGAGATGGCATACAAGGGCAACCATCACCACCCCTGCAAGAGGGTAATAGAGTGAAAACACACCCAGCCATAACTGCACATTAAACATAAATTGATCACCAGAACAGTTTTCTTTTTTTTTTGGTATAGAGGTTTCAAAATATATTTGTTTTATGGGGTGACTTATCTATTGAGCAAAGTCAACTAACAGGACTGGAAATTTAGAACTGTTAGCAACTGTATAAACCAGAGCTGCACTCTGCAGGAAAGGGCTCTGAATGAGCTACAAGAATATGTTTTTGATGGCTCCAGATTTTCATATACAATACTCTGAATTAGAGGAGAAATACGTTTTCTATAGTACACTAAAAAAATGAAAATGTAGCCTTACAGAGTAATGGTATACAGATGCATGGGGGCCTGAAATAAAGAACTGGCACACTTTTTACTCTTTAGCTTCTATAATGTAGCCAGATATATCAAGTAAGTTTTCAAATATTACCCGTTCATCATTTTTTTTTTTTCCCTGTTTCAAGAACTCTGGGAACCGTCATCTGTAAATAAAGGGTTTTCCCAGAAAATGACACACAAAAAACACCCTTGCTATCCCTAGAATTGTGATGCTACATAAAGCCCCTTTTATATTCAGGGATGAGCAAACACATTAGATGAATTAGATGGATGCTGTTCTTCACACAGTAACAAAAATGTAAGCCATTACTTAGTTGCACTCATTCATTGAGGTAATGTGACTATTATGAGGTTATCAGTTCAGAACTTCATTTGAATATGACATGCTGCACTAAACTACTGTATGTACACCCATTAATGGTTTCTCTTCCTTTATCTTCTCAATAGTCTGCGGCTCACATGTCTCATTACGTCCAGCAGTACAGCAGTCAAAAGAAGCAAATCAAGGCAAAACAGAGGTAAGTAAGAGGTGTGCATGGTCCTTTAGATTAGAGCAGAATAATATAAAAAATAATTGGGTGTAACTGTTAAGAAAAAAAAGGGGTATTTCAGAAGGTTCCATCTGAGAAAGAATGTGCAAGGTGACTGTGACAAAGGTGAGGATGTCTGTGTGGGGTTTGTGGGTATTCCAGAGAACTTGTCAACAATCTGCTCTTCTGGAAGTGTCATAGTTCTCTCTACCCTATCACTGACACCATGTGAATATGGAGAAAAATATACCCAAATGAATGCTAAAGAAAAAGCAATCAAGACACTAAATGCGATCACTGCATGTGTAATTCATATTATTATTATATAATGTAACTCATAAAAAGCTTGAATATAAGTAATTTAATTCCAGCTGATTGATGGGCAATGATATGATCCAGTATTGACCAGTGGTAGTTATTGTCTCATCCGCCATACGCAGTGGACTTGTTGGCTGAAATAAACTGTTCTATACCATGCACTGTGTGTGAACATCTTTTCAAGCCTCTCAAATCTTCAATTCTAATGCCAAAGCAGACTGTGTTCCGTTTTCTAACTTGTCAAAGCATAGGAAAATGAGTAAGACCAAACTGGGACACACCTACCATTTGGAAAGATCTTATTCCCCAGTAGACCTGCAGTTCCTCAATACTTTGCTAATGTTGGCTGAACACGGCAATTTTCTGTCCTTTTCTACCAGTTCTCAGTAGCAAAAACACCTGAGCAGACCAAGCCAACCTACCACTAAAATTATAGAATTGTACAACACCAAAGGATTATGGTGGTGATAGGTTGCATTCATCTATTTGCTCATTTTTGCTCATGGCTGAAATTACTTTGGGGGGGGGGGGGGGGGTGCTCAGCGTTAGTATAGGTTTGTCTGCCCAACTACTGTACCAGCCACCTGGCTTCACCGTTTAGTCACTGAGCTGGACTATGTACAGTATGTATTTATCCTAACACTTCATACTTGCTTGTTCCAGATCAGAAACTCACTAAGCAGTAAAGAAAGAATAAAGAGGGCAGGTCACACCTTAAAATGCCAGGCAATGTTCACTCCCGTATTTTTCAGTGTGCACGAATTTGGCTTGGTACAAATGCCAATGCTTTTTGAGTTGTGGTGGTCTGCATTTAGAAAGGTAGTGAAGAATGAAGGGGGCTGCCTAACGTGCCTCAATGAAACATATATACACATAAATGAAGAACCTGCATTGAAATGTGATCAGGTCCTGAATAACCTATTATGCTAAAATGAGCACAGATGTCAACAGCTGTGGTTTTGAAGATGTGGTCCATGTTAATAGCCATTGCTAGGGGGTCAATGTGGGTATAATTTACCCAACATGTTTTTTTATTTCTCTATTCAGTCCAGAAAAGAAGCCTTGTCAACAACTTTCCACAGACTCTGAGGCGGATATTGAGGAATTTGCGATCTACGAGTGTCCTGGACTGGCACCGGTAGGTATAATCATTGTACATGGGCAAAAGGTACCTCTAGACATTAGACGTAGCACAGCCATGCATGCAGGTACTGGATAGAACAAGAAGGCGCTTCTAAGTGCAGTATATCCAGAAGAATCTCTAATAATGACGGTTAGAAACATTTACAAACTTGTAGTTTAAACAGGCTCAATAGAGTTGTCAGAGTGCAGAGGCTCAATCCATCATGCAAGAACCCACTGTGCTGGCCAGCAGCTGCAGGGGGACCGGAGGATAAGCTGTCTAAGATGGCCACCGCAAGTTACGGGATCGCTGGAACGCAAGCCGAAGCACACACTGTCTAGGAGACTGCAACCAGAAGTGACGTGGGTTAGGAACGGGCGTGGTACAATGACGCGTTTTGGAACGTGCACAGAGCTCCTTCTTCAAGACAGATTCCATATACAGAGTGTGCTTCTACTCCTAGAAATGCTGCCCGGTGCCTGTTGTCCAGTGTCTCCTCCATCCCTGGCTGACATCTCTCGGTCCACAGCCTCCTCCATTGATGCGCCCTATACATATCCCATGCATGCAGGTACTGGCTGCTGCTCAGTTATCCCTATGAATGATCATGGTACAAACTTGCAAGTTCACAATAGTAACGTTGTTGCCTATGGAGAGGGGAACAGTGGGGTTTATTTACTAAAGCTGGTTCACCATAATCTATGCACCTGTGCATGGTAGCCATTCAGTTTCTAATAAATAAAAAAAAATTAAGATGTAGCGCTGCTCCTACTTATAAAAGTGATGTATAAATGTCATATGCCTCCCCCACTGAAAAATAGTATTCCTAAGTGTTAACAAGTGCTCCTGTTGTGAAAATGCAATAAGACTCCTATCTCCATAGGAGAAATCAGTCTGTACTACAGAACACCTTCCCCCATTTGTATAAGCAAAGGGTGAGGTGTGCAGGAAATAAACAAAATACAGTATTTGGTAAAAAGTGCCGGTCTGTGAAGGCCCTTCCTGTGAAAAAGTACCAATACTGAACTGGTGCTACAATGCACCTTCTTTCAATAGTGACAATAATATACACTCAAAATGTACATATAACAATATGATACTGAATTCTTGATTCCCGAAAACATATGTTCAATGGTAAATATCAACAATAAGTGAAATATCAACTGAAAAAATATATATATGTGAATGACCAAAAGCTAAGTCCTCATATAGTCCAACAAAGTCTTGTACTCAAGTGAACTGTGAGTGATGAAATTAACCGGTGCCCCCACACATGCTCCCCCTTAGTCACCGCAATGTTTGACCCCTGTTTCCAGTGGGTCCAGCGCGCTTTGTAGTGCTCTCCACTCCACTGTATAAGGAACTGTATGTAGCCGTATTCCACCAATCCTAGATGTAACCATGCTTCATCATACAGGCCATGATTGGATATGTCAAAGAGAGCGAAGCTTCCACAGTGTAAAAAAAAAAAAAAGCCAAATTCACAATTACAAACATAAGCAGATAAGGCACTTTAAAATGGAAAGTGGAACGCCAGTTCCACAGCCCAGAAACTGAAACCGGTAGTGATGTCGTTAGCTCCAACACGTTTCGTCATCATGAGGTCAACAGGAACGATCAAGTTTCTAACCAAAGCTTGTTCAATTAAGCTATAGCAATAAAAAACCTGTAAGCCGATTGGTTTCTATGCAGACGTGCACGAGATTCTGAGTGAACCAGCATTAGTAAATAAACCCCACGGTGTACTGACTTGTCTCAGTAAACAATAGCACTTACTGTAAAAATCCATCTCAACTAATCCATATCTCCCCTACTGTGAAACCCCTAAAGTCATATAAACTCTGCCTAACACCGTTACAATCAACTCCATTTGGCTGTTTCAAATGCATTATTTATTGCCATAAAATGCAGACTAAATTGGGCTGTTCTATGGAGAGAATTGTCAAATGTCAGTTGCTGAGCCATCTCCATCTATAACCACTACTCTTGGTTGTAGACTTATGCAGATCAGTGATATGTGACTATAAAAGGAGTCTCTGACATGGGGGTTGTGGTTACAACCTGGATTTGCCTTTATTATGCTGTGCGATAAAGTGTCTCCCAATGAAGGAATACATGGTTCCCGACAGCTTGGAGCACAGTTATTCCCAACAGTTGCCTACTATTAGAAAGCAGAGATCTCTTTGCAGTGGTCCTACATACATGAACTAGAGCTATGCAATCAGCAAAGCTCATGTTTCTTGCTGATTGGGCAGCTCTAGCTCTGACGTAGCAGGGAATGAGTCAGACTGGTGCAGAGGAATCACACAATGTAGCGTCCACCTCTTCAGCCTGAATGATGGGGATCGGGGGGGTTGGTGGAGAAGTTTGAACTGGTGCTGAGACTCTAGCACCACTTTTCTGTGCTGCTGTGGAGCCAGTGAAAGCTCCAAATGGCAGAAGTGATATCACAACCGGAAGTCCCATCTCTACGCAATTAGTTACATCATCAGAAAGCCTCCTGATTTGGAGTGCATGCTGGCTCCATAGCAGCTGCACTTTCTAAACAAGCTATCAGCTGGTCATTCTGGGTGCCAGGAGGGCACCACAGTATGTAAGTGTATCATTTTACGATGTGAAATGGAATTACCCGTTCCAATGATTAATGTCAAAAAGGGGATTACCCCTTACTTCCTGTTGTGTTTGCAGGGGAAAGAAGTAAAGAGATATCTCTACAATTGGATACAAGTGGCAAAAAAAAAAATATATTTTGGTTTTAAGATACTTTATAATTACATAGAAAGTTTTACCAATCATGCAGCTCAGGGGGGCTTTTTGTTAAAGTGGAACTTCACCCAACAGGGAAAGTTCTACTCGTTTGTATCCTACCCCCCTCCACTGGCAAATTTGGCACTTTTTGTGGGGGAGTGTGTACCTGGATTTGACAGGTACCCACTCCCACTTGCAGTCAGTCGTACGCAGCGATCTATGCCAGAAACTTGGCCCCTCTCCTTCCCCCACAGCCTTCTGGGACACATCACAGGTCCCAGACCACTGCAGGACCATTCACAAAGTGCAGAGCGCTTCGCACATGCGCAGTAAAACAATCAGCTGTGAAGCCATAAGGCTTCACTGCCAGTTTCCCTTACTAAAGATGCCGGCACCTGCACCCAAAGCAGAATGGAGAAATTGCTGGATCCATGGACAGGTAAGTATCCTTAGATTAAAAGTCATCAGCTACAGAATTTGTAGCTGCTGACTTAATTTTTTTGGGGAGAGCCTGGAGCTCCACTTTAAGCAGTATGCAATTTATGGAAAAGAGATCTTCGATCACCAAGCTACTACCCCTAAAGAACTAACCAATGTTTCACTTTTTCAGACCGGAGAGATGGAAGTCCACAACCCTCTGTTTGACCCTTCGAGGACCAAGCAGTGATGAAATACATCATTGAAAAATCTCTGTATCTTATAATCTATATTTATTATAGCTGTATATCTAAACGTATCCTGTGTGGTTGTTGTGCATTAAACTTTTGAGCTAGCTGCGCTGTTAGTGAGCACTGTGTATTAAGGCTTGCAGATGGCCTTTGATTTTGGTTTTGACTAGGATCAGCATGGAGCTTTCCACATGAGCAAATGTTTAACCACTTGCCTACCGGGCACTTTTACCCCCTTACTACCCAGGCCAATTTTCAGCTTTTAGTGCTGTCGTACTTTGAATAACAATTTTGCTGTCATGCAATGCTGTACCCATATGAAATTTTTTATAATTTTTTCACACAAATAGAGCTTTCTTTTTGTGGTATTTAACCACCACTGGGTGTTTTTTTTTTTTTTTGCTGATAAAAACAGAAAAAGATAAATTGTGAGGCATTGATGATGAGGCACTGATAATCCTGCACGGATGATCCTGCACTGATAGCAGCAATGATGGGCACTGATGAGAACAGGCTGGCAGCACTGCTGGGCACTTTTGGGGCTGCACTGATAATCCGTGCCCTAATTATCAGTGAAGATGTCTGCTTTGACAGTTGCCAGTTACCGGCAGTATGGTATGAACATGGTGTCAGACCTCTGCCCTTCTCACCAACTTGTGACAAAGGACCAGCCAATTTCACACCACACTGTCACTTACATAACAATGCCACTCTCAGCTGCACCCTGCACAAAGATTTTCCAGCTTGCTGGACCACAATCTAGGAGCCAGCAGCCTGAGAGCGATTGTGACTGGGTTAGGTTAATTACACAATTAACCTTTCAAACTACCACCAGATAGCTTTGGGCCGATCAACCCTTCACAATGTTAGCAAGAAGAATAAACATCTGTAACACGCACTGTCACCACAGACAAGTACTGTATATTCAGAGGATTATTATATACAGTAGCACTCCAAGAGACAGGGATTCTTTAGTTTGCATTACACAGACGGGAGGTACAGTCGCAGATCGGGGCATTGTCCTGCATGAGTGCATTTTCTGCTGGAGTGCAAAACAGCAGTTTAACACAACCCCCTGATTATGTCCCCTTTGCTTTTTCAGCAGTAAACGCTGTTATGTGATCTCCACTTTAAACTATCCCCCTACTATGCAATGACTTTCTGCAAATTTAGGGGAAATGCGGTTATGTGATCTCTACCTTAAACTGTCTCCCTGCTGTGCACTGACTTTCTGCAACACTGAGAATTAGTCCTATATCTTTTTGTCTGTTTGTGGTGATTGATTCTCACCTCCTTTGCCTTTCTGTGATCAGAGAATCAATCATCTTTTCTGACTTTGGCCTGTGTCTGGTCTGGCTTTGACCAAAATCCCCCCCCCCCCCCCCGAATTCATGTAATCCTTATCAGTTGCTAATTGGGGCGGAGAAGAGTTGCTCATTTGATCATCTCCTTATAAACCTAGACCAGCTTATGGGGGAAGTCACGGGGGGGGGGGGGGGGGGGGGGGGGGGGGGACGGGGGGACAGTCGCAGATGGGGGCATTGTCCTGCACGAGTAAATTTTTTGCTGGAGTGCAAAACAGCACATGAACACAGCAGTTTAACTGAGTGCATTCTCTACTGGAGTGCAAAACAGCAATTGAACACAACAGTTTAAAGCAGGATAACTCAAGCAGCAGGAAGATACAACAAAGAACTCTACTGCACCTGCTGACCCAAACACCAGGATAGGAAGGCATGTGCACTCATATACATCCTGCGCCCATCTTACTTTCCTCACCCTCCTTCTCCTAACCTCTGGGGATATCTCCTTAAACCATGGTCCTCCAGTATCTCACCCCCACATCAAGCACCCTCCTTCCTCCAGGAATAGCAACAATCCACTCAATTTAATCTCAATCCCCATGCTCCTAAAAACCACCCTCTCTTTTTCATGTGCACTCTGGAATGCCCACTCTGTAATAAGCTCACCTCTGTCCATGACCTTTTGTCTCCCACTCCCTTAACCCACTAGCAATTATAGAAACCTGGCTTCAAGCAGCAGATTCTGCTTCTCCCACAGCACTTTCCTATGGAGGCCTTCTCTGGACCCACTCACCCAGACCCAGTGGTTGGAAAGGAGGTGGAGTTGGTTTGCTTCTATCCCCACTGAGCACCTTTCAAGTCCTCCCTAACCATCCCTCTCTATCCTACTCTTTCAAGACTCACTGCATTAGGCTGTTTTCTCAAATTTCTTTGAGGATTGCAGTGATCTACCAGCCTCTTGGACCGGTTTTCTTGATGACTTCTCTGCTTGGCTACCCTACTTTCTCTCCTCTGAAATTCTCACTATTATTGTTGGAGATTTTAACACCCCCATTAATGTGAACAACCCAGCCACATCCCAACTCTTCAACCTAACCATCTTTTGCCTTAACACAATGGACACAGTCCTCCACACACTCTGATGGGAATACATTAGACCTTGTTTTCTCCCATCTTTGCACTCCCTACAACCTCACAAACATTCCATTTTCTCTCTCTGATCACAATCACATCACCTTCACAGTGTCCTCATCTTCAAAACACTTATCCCTCCTAGCAGCAAACAATTACCCACAGAAACCTTCACAACTTAAACCCTTCTCTTTTTCACTCTGCAACTGACCGCCTCTCCCACCTATCCTGCCCTGACCTGGCCACTGCTGTCTATAACAGCTTTCATTCACACTAGACTCACTTGCTCCTCTAACTACACAAAGTATCAGGCCCCGACCATTACAACCGTGGCAGACTGACGGCACCAGAAATCTTAAGCGACAGTCATGCACTGGAGCAATTGTGGCGTAAAACCAAATCTCAGCAAGCATTCATCCTATATAAATCTGCTTTCTTAACATACAATTCCTCCCTCCATGCTGGCAAACAAGCCTACTTTGTCACTGTTATTAATACCTTGTCATTCAGTCCTTGTTGTCTCTTCTCTTCTTTTAACTCTCTCCACTCTCCACCCAGTAACTCACTCACTGCTTACGAGATTGCAAATCATTTCAAAAACAAGATTTATGCAATTCGTAGGAGCATCTCCACTACACAGACATCTATCCCACTTAGCATACCTTATACTACAACTCCATCAACACTGTACTCTTTTGACCTTGCTACTACTGAAGAGGTCACTAAAGTTTTCTCAGAAGCCCGTCTCACCACGTGCCCCCTGGATCCTGTCCCCTCTCAACTACTACGGTCACCCTCTTCTTCTGTCCTATGCTCCCTCACTCACATCTCCAATCTCTCCCTCTCTAATGGTGCTTTCCCCTCCCCTCTAAAGCATGCACAAATCATTGCCATACTTAAACAGCCCTCACTGGACCCCACCAACCTGAACTTAAGACCTATTTCCCTGCTTCCGTTTACCTCTAAACTCTTAGAACACAGTCTACAATCGCCTGAGCTCCTACCTCACTGACAACAACCTTCTTGACCCTTTACAGTCTGGCTTTCACTCACTACACGCCGCTGCAACTGCCCTACTAAAACTCACTAATGATTTACTAACTGCTAAAACCTATGGCCACTACTCTTACTACTTGACCTCTCTGTGGCTTTTGATACGGTTGAACATCCCCTTCTCCTCAAAAAACTCCACTTTCTTGGCCTCCAAGACTCTGCTCTCTCCTGGTTCTCCTACCTATTGCAGCGCTCCTCTCCACTTCCTTTCTGTAGGGGTCCCTCAAGGTTCTGTCCATGGACCCTCTCTCTTCTCCATCTATACCTCCTCCCTTGGTTGCTGTATAAACTCCCATGGCTTTAAGTACCATCTCTATGCTGATGACACACAAATCTATCTTTCTACTCCTCACCTGACCCCTTCAGTCTCCTCTTGCATTACTGAAATCTCCTGCACAGTTATTACCTTTTGTACCACCTGCCCCTCCCTCTTAGATTGTAAGCTCCAAAGAGCAGGGCCCTCCTAACCCTCTGGTATTGTTTCTGTATTGTCTCCCTTTATATTGTAAAGTGCTGAGCAAACTATTGGTGCTATATAAATCCTGTATAATAATATTAATTAAAAGCTTTAGAGACAGTTTCAAACACTTTTCAAAATAGGGTTTATTACTAAAAAAAGGTCAAAATGGTGCAATTAAAATATTTACAGAAAGGGATGTTACAAGGAAAAAAAGGACAACAATAAAGCAACAGAGAGATAAAAGACAGGAGTTAAGAGGGCAGAATACTTGCAAAGTCCTGGCTTTAGCGAAGTCCAATTGTCCAAGCAAAAACGTTGCCTTGGCTCTCAAGTCCATTAAGATCCATGGTTGATGTTAAACGAGAGCTCATTTACTAGATCCGATTAGTCTCTTTTCTATGATATCAAAGGGGTGTCGCCCAAGACCAACAATCTGGTTTAAGGGATGGGTGCTAGGAGGTCACCAAATTTATGACCAAGTTCATACTACAGTTTTACACCAATATTAATAACCTCGAATATGTGGAGGTGGTATTTTAACAAGTGTCAGATTATTATTCAGAATTATATTACAAACCCAAGGATACCAAACAGCGTACTTTTGTTATCCAGGAGGGAGGAGACTGCTTTCTCCCCTTTCCTATGTGCGAACAGTCATACAGTGCATCCAGATAGCATTCACAACGCTTAACTTTTGCCACATTTTGTTATGTTACAGCCTTATTCCAAAATGGATTCATTTTTTTCCTCAACAATCTACAAACAATACACCATAATGACAACGTGAAAGAAGTTTTTTTTTTTTTTTCTTCAATAAATTGCAAAGATTTCTAAACCAACACACATGTACACAAGTATTCACAAACTTTGCGCAATACTTTGTTGAAGCACCTTTAGCACCAATTACAGCCACAAGTCGTTTTGAGTATGACGCTACAAGCTTGGCACACCTATTTTTGGGCAATTTCTCCCATTCTTCTTTGCTGTACCTCTCAAGCTCCATCAGGTTGGATGGGGAGTGTCGGTGCACAGCAATTTTCAGATCTCTCCA